AATAGTGCACGCTATGGCGTTTACCATTTGTTAAATGGACAATAGCCAGTTTGCTTGATGTGATTTAATAACAGTGACATATATTTTTGGTGTTCAGGTTGTAAAGTAAAACGTTTTCAGTATCCAAGAGCTCACCTTTGAAAAACGTTCGTAAGATTCCTCTCCTGGACTGGGAGGGTTGCAAACGAGTCCCATTATTACCTAAGAATGAAGGAGACGGCATGACTGAAAGAACGAAGAAACAAAGAAATAGAGAAAGAGGAGAGAGGAAAAATAAAAGAGATAGAGAAAAGGAATGAAAGAAGAGAGGAATATGAAAAAAGTTAGAAAGGCAGGAAGGAAAAAAGAAAGAAACAAGACTCCTGTGATACCTGGCTTGAAATCTCCTTCTCATCCAGCCCACTTCCCCCACCCCATCCCCACCCCCACCCCCAAGAAAAAAAACACTCGGCGATAGTAGCAAATACCGCCCTTACCCTCCTTCCCGCTAAAAACAACAAGCACTGAAATGCAAACGTTTAAAGAATTCTGAACAAAATAAACATAGATCAGGTAAGCAATAAGTTATACCCCATAAAGTCGTGGAAGAAACGCTAGTTTTTGAAAGTATTCAGCTAAGTATTCGTATTGTTTCCACTTCTCAAATAGCGCGAATACAACCAGAAGAACAGCACGTCGTGCTGCCCAGTAACATTATCCAACATCCCACAATAAAACAGGGCTCAACTGAGATTGGGACAGGGCACGTAAACGTGTACATAGATTTTTACCTAGAAATCTCCTTAGCACATAGACAGAAGAAACGTCACAGCACGTTATAACATTCTCTGTGGCGCTCCACTTTTCGTTTCCGCAAGAGTTTGCAATCACCCGTGTAATTTGAGCTTTGTTTTCGTACCTGTCCTATTGTGGAAGTGCAATTTCTTGCACTAAGGTACATTTTGATTCGAGACTTGACTTGATCACTCAGTCCTACAAGCTCAATGTATCCTCCTCTAAGACCACATCTACAAAAAAACAACATTGTATGACAACAACAGAGTGAAAGCTTGAATAGCTCTCAGGTCCGTAAATAGTATAAAGTAGTAATATAAATATCTTTTTGTTGTTGTTGTTGTTGTTGTTGTTGACGGCAATTATATTGCAAGACTTACGCTGATCACTTTAATTCCCAATAAATCTTTGTATCGACTTTGTACATATTGTAAAATAAAAGCAGGCTAAGTCAAAAGTCTTTCATGAAATTTTCCCTTCTGAGGAAAAAACGTTTGACCTAAGTGACACGTCCTGGATTCATTTCCAAATAAGGTCACACTCAGGTACTGGTAGATAACGGAGATTCAGTTAACAAATCAGAAAGTTTGAAATGCATTATCCAAGGTTGAGGATTTAATAACTACAAATATCTGCCGCCTTACTCGCCAGTGTATCCTTTTGCACTAGAATGAAGCGACATAAGCTGGAAGTCTCTGTACTCTGCTCCCATGTCCCTCAGGACTTTCTTACACGAGTGAAACTGGACTCCATCAGCGTAGACATTTTCTTGATAAACCTCATCAGCGAACAGTACCAGTTTCTCTCGAGCGCAAAACTTGATGACTTCTCGGATGTTGTCGTGCGTCAGAACCTGACCTGGAAATATTCAAAGGCATAATAGCTGAAATCTTCACCTCCCAATGGGGAAGACTGAAAGGTTTTATTTTTGTCTTCACCCCAGACACCCAAAATTGTTTTCGTATTTATTAGTGAATACCGCGTAAAGCACGTACAAAAATGCCTTAAAACTGTGAAACGGAGAATATCCTTTTCGCGTGTTCTTTGAGAAAGGAGTTTTCTTTACTTAAAAAGCTTAAAGGCGGAAGGGAATTTGACGGCATTCTTTGACAAAAATGGGCGGTGGATTGACACGCACATTCTGCACCATTGAGCGGGTGATATAACCCCACTGAACTGAACCAACCTGTTGGGTTGCCCGGATTAATCAGCACCAGGCCTCTCGGTACGCAATACGACCTGGCCTCCTCCAACGCTCTTTTGAGTTCAGTTACGTTCAAAGACCAGTCACTCTCTTCATCAAGACGGTAATGGATCTACAGATATGTGTAGGATAGAAAATGAAATATAATTTACAAAAAACTTAGCTGTGTGTATTTCCTTCCAAGGCACAAAAAATGTGGAGGAACGGAGACCCAGGGAGGGGCAGAAATCAAGCCTGTCTTATGACCTGATAAGAGTTGTGTTGTAAGAGCCTTGCTTGGTACAAGCTGTATCCAGGGACAGGAAGCATGACTCCAGCACGGCCCCTGCCTTCATTGGTTCCTGTTTGAACGATTCCCATCATAACCTGAAAAGATGACATCAAATTATATATTTTCAGTATTTTCTGAAACCTGACACGGGCTGTACTCAAATGGTAACTTACACCAATTTCCCTACCTGCTATTAAAGGCCATTTGATGGGCATGCCCCTCGTGAATTTTGTTAAGCGTCTAAAAATTACTGGAAGCCACTTCTAGTTCTTAGGGTGTGGCCCAAGTTAGTTTGTACCCTTAAAAAGTACTGATTCAAAACTTTTTCATTGATCACACTGGCGACATTAAGAGCCACATCCTGGGCAAGCATACATTGAAAAGGTACACTTTAAGAGGTACCATAATATGTAGTGAATTTGAAAACCTGAAACAGAACAGCCCCTAAGTTGTACCAAAAACATGATTTCTAATCTCTAGAGGTAACAAACATACTCATCAGTGAGACCCCATACAGAGACCTCCCTTAGAAGTTTCAGCTGCCTAATGAACAGTGCAATTTCTGCTTACTTCAATCCCTTCAGCCCCTCCACTTGTGACAACTATGTTATCAGAAGCTGCTGGATAACCATCCCGTTGAGAAATGAAATGAGCAATATCCTGACGCACAACGTTGATACCCTCTGCTGCAGTGTAACTACCTGCAAAGGAAGAAAAGAAATAGTAATAATATACACAAAGGTAAATGCTTGAGCTCTGGATTAAATCTTTGATCAAAAGAGCAATTGCCAGCCCTGGATAAGGCATTTATCAAAGAGAAAAAAACTTAGCAAGTGTATGTTATATAATAAGTTCGATTTCTGAAGAGTGCCAAGGCCAAATGATTAGTGCCCCTTCACTCCGGATCAAGCTTTCTGGGTTTAAGCCCTGGCCTGGTCACTGTGTTGCTTTTGGGGGAAAACACTACTGTCATAGTGCCTCTCTCCCCTCAGGAGCACAGCTGGTTATTGACACACTGTTGTGGCAACCTGCCTAAAAGCTGGGAAGCAACCTGGAACTAACATACCACCCAGCAAGAGCACTACTACTGCTAGTCGCTTCATACAGAGGCGGGAGTTAAATGCAGTGAACTAGAACCAGTTAGGCTTAAATAGTTAAGAGGCTTGCATTTATAAGCTTTATTTACATCTCAAAAAGAAAAATGCCTGACACATTCTGCAGTCCCATTGGTTGGGCAAAAGTGCTTGTACCAATGCTAGCTTGTAAAGCTCACTAAGAGATTTTACAATCCTCATGGTTGGGCGTTTGCAATGTATTCTGTTGTTTCAAAAATATTTTTGCCAGACAAATGAGTGCTAGGAAAGCTTGCAGCAAACAAAATATATGAGCATAAATTATGAGAACTTGTGTTGATAGAAGGTTTCACTTTATGACACACGGCAAAGGGAGACCACAAGTGGTAACTGGTGAAGGATACTATTGCGCGATACGTCTACGAAATAGTGGAAAGGGAAATTCTTGATGATACTTTACTTATAGTGTGTCCTGGGATGCCATTTAGGATCTGTTTGGCTCTGTTTTTGGCATCCTGAGGAAAACTTGGATCATCTAGAAAGTCAGGACACAAGAGAAGTCCCAGGACCTGTATGACATGGAACACTTGAGTTGTTTTGATTGTAACTACCAATAAAGTGATAACTCCCTCAAACTACCCTATCACTCACTAAACAGGGAAAGTGCAGTCTTGTAACTACATTTTGATTTGATGATTGATCACTTATCAGATCAATCAAATAAGCAAGCAACCAACTGATTAATTTATCAATTTGTTAGGTAATCCATAGTAATCCACCAACTATGGGTAATCGTATGAATAGGAGCACAATTAAAAATTACACTACGAGTGATATTTGCAAGTTCTCTCAAAATTGCACGAGCGAGTGCAATTTGAAAGAATTTTCTAATATCATGAGAAGTGTAAATCCTTAATTGCTTGAGCTTTCATGCAATTACTCATTTATTATATGACTGAGAAAATTGCGAAAGTGTGCGCATTAATTTGCACTGCAGTGCAAATTAAGAATTAACAATAAATTGGCCTACTCTCAGCCAATTACAAAGAAGTAATTTTCTCAGTCACTGAAATAAACACAGAAAACTATCAAGTAATCAGCCACTAGTTGTTTGGTTATTTTTCAAGTCAGATCAGATCAAAATGAATTAAACAGTCAATCCATCGAAAGACAAGGCTGTATAGGTCACCTGTCGAAAAAATGTAATTGGTGGCTGTCCCATTCCCTGGGGATTTCCAATGTGTTCTAAAACTTCAGAAAATGGCTTGGCCTCTCCCTAATAAAAAGAGAACAGTGGAGGTTTTGTAAAACAACATTAGAGGTCTTATTAAACAAACAATGTAATGACAGGGATTAATTAAATCTATGACTGTCAATGACACAGTGGCCAAATTTTTACCAGAGACAAAATCATTTGATGCCGAATTTATATTAGGAGATGATTTATCCATTAACTAAAGATGATTTATCCCTCTCAGATGGATAAATTATTAATATCATGTAAGTATAAATATGAAGATGTGGTGACAAACGAATCAGCCCAAGCGAATTTGACCACATTATTTGTCTAAACAGCAGACTGTTTAAATGATTGAAAGGCTTTTTTTCCGTAGGGGCCATGAACACGCAAGTATGTAATAAGCATGCGTGAACGATATTATTTTCACAGTATAAGCAAACATAAATCCAGATCTGGTCTCAACTGTTCGAAGTATATCTCTTCCCACTGCAGTAACTTATGGATAACATTGCAGCAACTTCTTGTGTCTTCTTGCAGTTTACGGTAAGATTCATAAGTTCTTGCGGCTTCTTGCGGTTAGATTTTCAACTTCTTGCGTTTCAAATGTTCTTGCGGGTAAACCACAAAAACATGACATTTTTACTTCTTGTGGTGGCTTGCATGTTCTTGCAGTGCAAGAACTTCTAGTGCGCCACTTCTTGCGTGTGCATTATTTTTGGGCTGCATTATACCTAGAAGTTATATATCTGTCTCAGGCAGATGAATGACCCCTATCAGGCAGCTGATTTGTCCCAGATGGATACTGCATCCCTAGCATCATAGAAATATGGCCAGTTGTGAGGTGGTACTTTATACACCATCACAGGTTTAAATACTTGCAAGAGGGTCCACAATATATATAGGGGTCTCAGATCCTGCTTTCCCGCCCATTTTTTCCAATTAATCCCGCCATCCCACCCTTTTTTGCCAGGAAATCCTGATCCCGCCCACTTTTCAAGACGTTTCTGTGTTAATTATTAATTTGTTAAATTAATAATTGATTTAATTATTAACACAGAAACTTTTTCGAAATAAATATCGCATAAAAGATCAAAAAAGAATTCAATGGGTAGCAGATAAGCAAGCACAAATGATTATTAATAACGTTTCTTTC